TTGCCACTGATTGTATGGGATGAAGTATGTTACGCTGTTTTTGAAGAGAAATTGTTTTTTTTACGGCACAGCTGCATCTCACCAAATACAACTTAAAGATTTCAAATTCAGCCTCCAGGTTTGCGTACGTCTCGGTGCACCGTTATTCGGCTGGTGTACTCTGTTGTTGAGAAGGGGCTGTTCATAATAACAGTGTTATGCTGATGATTCCCGCCCCTAATCACGTCTGGTGCTGTCTGTGTTTATAGCTTGGAGATGAAACACAGGCGGCTTTTTATACATACAGCTTTTCACATGACTTCTTTTAAATCTGACCTTGACTTATTTTTAAAAAAATATCACAACAATCTGAACCCCTTTTTTATTTTCTTTCTTTGATCGCGAATTTTGACGACCATCTCGGTAATACTTTAGCTACGGGGCTGGTATTCCGGCCCCGTTCTTCATTTCCTCACAGGGACCTTCAGGCCCGTACTGCCTTTTTGTAGTGATTTCTTATTTACCACCCCTCATCTACCACAACCCTGACATTCCTATTTGAAATGACTAGTTTTTGGTTGGGCATCCATTGGGCCTCTTTTTTTTCCCTATTTATTTTTTATTGGCAAACTCAGAAAATCAATTTTAAATTTAGGCAGTGTAACGTTACTCTCTGGCTTGATAACTTTTATTTGAGCAAGTTATTTTGGTTTTTCTTTTCGGTAGTACTGACACATGACAGGAGCAGTACTTAAACTTGCTTTGAAAAGCTTTAAAAATGGAAAATATCGGCAGTTTTGCTAGCGAAAGATTGTTTTTTTCATACCAGTCGGGCTACTTTCGAGTGCATCGCCTTCCTTCGTGAGTTTGGTTTGAGAAGGGGAGGGAGGGAGGAGTTTTTTAGTTTTTTTTAGCGAAAAATTCCGATGTTAAGGGTGGTCTACATTAATTTTTAGCCTTTCGAGATTGTTTCTCAGCCCGTTGACATTTGAATTAATATTGAAAATGTGTCAAATAATGCCAAGGGTTTCAAAATTGGTACTGGCGCATACGCAAGGAGTCAAATCCGCCATCAGCTTGCTTCTAAAATAACTCTGGACAGGAAAACGTCGAGAGCTTATCGGCAGCTTTCGGCAAATTATTCCGATTGCCAGCTTCTTTCCACAGAAGATGAATAGGGGGGTATTAATTTTTGATTTCTTTCAACTCCTGGCTTTCGATAGTCCGGACAGTCAACGTGGAATTTCCAATGTGCTTTTCTTGACCAATTATCTTTTCAAAAGAAATTTAATTTTATTAATTCAGCCAGTGAATGGATTTGGAAAAAGAAAGCGACGGACAGTTGGATGTCAAACG